TCCGATCTATCGCGCAGCATTGATTGATGATCTTATGAATCTTGCAAGAGCAGAGTACATTGATTATAAGATTGCTATATCTGCCTTAATGTATTTGGAAAATGAAAATAATTATTTCCCCTGGCGTGCGTTCTTCAATAACCTGCCTTACTTGAACAAACATTTTGCAGGACGCCCTATTGAAGGCATATATAAAGTACGTGTTATAATTATATATAAATGCGTGTATTATAATTTTGTATTATGATATATTGTATATAAATTAAAAACTAAATATAAATCCTTATAACTGCACTTTTAAATTTATTAATAAAATACATAATTGCTGATATATATAATTATTATAAAGCTTTTATAATAATCTACATATTAATGCACAATTATATTTAAAAAATTAAATTATAAAAATTTATCTATTAATTAATATCAAAATGTTACATTGTACAATCATAATAACTTTCAAGAAGCTTTTTTTTTCTCGGATGATATTTCTCAGTTATACATATACATATTTCATTATTACATATTTAAATTAAATTCTATTTTAAAAATGCAAATCTGTTTTAACATTCGAATCGTGTCATTCAAATTCCCTGAGATTTTATTTTCATGAGATTTTACGTAAGTGATTCTACAAAAGAAGATTAATACGTATGTCTTTTTCAGAAATGGTTAACATTTTTAATAGGACGACTTTACGCACAACTAGGCTTTGAGGATAACACGAGTGACGACGACCTGAAGCAGATATTCAAAATACATACTCGCAAATGGGCCTGTAAATTAGATATAACATATTGTAAACTGTGTGCTCTAAGATATTTCCAACAAAAATTTCAACATTCAAAAATGTAAGTTAAAGAAAAAATTAAAATAATTTCCTAGTTTGGCATAAAGTATGTAGAGATGGTTACATATAGTAATTCTCATGTGTAGTTATGAAAAAGATATATAGAAACGTGAAGATATAAATATAAATGAGGTATATAATCAGAATGATGAATTTGAATTATTCATTTTTTTATAGAATATCTCCAAATTACCGCGATGTTGTTTACGGTACAGCCATGAGGTTGGATAAGGCAAATAATACTTATGAGTTTCTCTGGAAGGAATATTTAAACAACAATGTGATCACAGATAAACTTGTAATTCTTGATTCATTAGCTTGTTCAGAAAATAAAGATGTGTTAGAAAAGTAAATATAATCATATTCTTTTCATCGTTCGTATTGATGTCATTAAAAATAGTATTAATCAACATTCATATAAATTACATTTACTAGATTTTTACAAAATATAATAGCGAATGTTATATAGAAATTACAAAAACTCCAACTTATTTTGCAAATTTTCTAATATTCACATTTGTGATACGTTTTCTAATAAAACTTTATAAGAAACAGATAATTTATTAAATAGTTTAAAAAAATTGCAATGCTAATTTAATTTTGCATTAATAATAATACTTTCATCCATTTCTTATATTAAATCAAGGTTATTACTGGATGCAATCACAGAGAATTCACCTATTCCGTACCAAGATATTGAAAGAGTATTCAGTAATGTTTATGATGCAAATTTAATTGGCGTTGAAGTTATCATAAAAATGATTCAAACATATTACGATGATATATTGCATCGACAGTAAGTAAATAATTTTGTGTAGTAATAATAAAAATCTCAATAACGCAATATATCATTTTTAACAATAACTTTTGTTTACAGTTTTAATAATTATTTAAAAATCGAAAATATAGTGAACGCTTTGGCAAACAGATTATCTACTATTGACCTCTTTTACCAGGTAATTTATCATGTCGTACATTTTAACAAATATGATCTAACCAAAATAGCAAAAGAAACATCTATATAAAATGTTAGAAGTTTTTTATATAAAACAATATAAAATTAAATAACTTTTCTATATATACATGATAAACATTTTATTCAATTTTAAATTAAAAGAATCAATAATTAAATGGAATAAAATATGTCATTAATGAAGCTAATAAGCTAATGAAGCCTTAATCATGATAGTCTCATAAGGTATACTTCAGAAATCATTAAAAATCAGAATTATTTACGCTAATCGAGTATCAGAAACGTATGAAGCGAAGATATGTATTATTTCGCGTTTCTTGTTTATTGCAGTTATCAAGAATTCTTAGAACTAACGAAGAATGCCCGATTTTCAGCAGGATGAAAGCTGGCAGGAGTTGGATGTGCAACAAATTTATTCTCAGCAAGAGTGCGAAGCTTTTCAGAAGCAGAAACACAGACAGTAATGAATCCAGAAAATAATTGCTAATGGAATGGTGAGAAATTAATAATCGGGTTTAATTTTTAACGCACTTGAAAAGTTAAATAGAGAAATCGTATTTATATAAATCCCTTTGTGTATCTCGGTAATTGTTACAGGAAAGTTAAGTCGCATATATTGAGTTAATTTTTTTATTGTACATTACTTTTATGTAGACTTTGAATGCTATCTGAACGATTTTATTTCTTGCTTTGCTACACATCTGTGATAGCATGTTTGAGGTAGGCTCTATTTTATCGCTTCTCTAATCAAGATTATTATTTTGTTTTGTAATTTATGCACGATTGTAATAAACTAGCACGATAGGCGTGTTTCACGAGTCATCGTTCTACGTAGTCGATGGATCTATGTAGATCGTTATCGCTATCGCTTTGACTAAAAAATAAACTATGCGTGCTGTCCGTAATAATTAGAGTAATTTAATTAAGCTTGGGCACTTTCTATCGTCAGTTACCATCTCCCTCTGACACTGCAGCACATTTACCTGTTCCAACATGAACAGGCAAATAATTGTTGAATTGTAAAGCATTTTATTCAAATTTTTTATTCAAGTTTTTTATTCTCTCGGCGAACTTGTAATTATCTCTTTATAATGCATTCTTTTCTATTGTTCTACAGCTTCTTTGCAACAGCAGTCGTATCCAAGACAGATATACCGCAACCACCAATCGGCTATATGCCGCAATGCCAGAATAAATTACTGCAGCAACAAATCCTCAAGTTCCACCATCGCAGCAACATTATCCTAGGCAGATTCCGCCAAGTAGCAACAGTCCCAGTTTCAGGTTCAGCAGCCTAAAAAAATGCAGCAACAATACCAACGCCATCCCCAACAGGCTCAACAACAGAGTCAAGACCAACCCTAGCAGACCTAGCAACAAATCCAGAATCAACCTCAGCAGGTTCAACAACAGAGGCATCCAGGGCATCAGCAAATGCAGCAACAACAAACGCAGAATCAAATCCAATAAATTGTTCTTAAGATTATCATTGTATTTATTATTGTTTTTAGGGATTAATTTCTTTATTTGATACAGAAAAATTGCAATTATTTATATTATATAAAGTATGCTAATTGTTAAATAAAAATGTATTACTCATTCTCAAGCAACTGTGTACAAGATTATTTCATGATATGTATCTGGACTATCTGACTTACATAAACTCGATCAAATCCCAATTGACGTTTAACATTTCTTATAGGCGAGAACAAATCACCGAAATGAGAATTAATGTTGTATCATTGCGAATCAGGTTAATAAAATAACTTTATTAAAATTAGGTACGTTGAAGATTTAAAGAGAACAGGATTTAAAGAAAAGAAAAAAGAAATTTTTGAGGGGGATAAAAGGAGATATAATGTTTCCTTTCTCGTATTTGTCATTGTATACTGTTTATTAGTAAACGAGTGCTTGCAATGATACATTGCAGGATCACAACAGAATACATTAAGATGCAGCACACGCGCAGAAAACGAAATGCAGTCTTTCGGACAATCACGAGAGCCATCAGCCGATCTTAACGATTCTCACGATTGTCAGTAGTAGCTGGATTGTTGTCAGGGATGGGAAGTAACTCGTTACTTATAACAAAGTTACAGTTACAGTTACTTTTTTTTCAATAACTGTAACTTAACTTATTAGTCCGATTTTTTAAGCAACTATAAGTAACTAATTTAATAGTTACTTTTACAATTACTTTTTATGTATTAAATTGTCACTTTCATATGGATAACAATTATGCAACACTTTCGCTCAATCACCTAATCGTAATGTTGATTGTAATTATGCAAAATATTTAAATGCTCATATTTAAATACGCGCATTACTCTTCTTTTTTAAATAAAATTATAAAATATATAAATGTATAATAAATGTAAATCAGTCTTTTTTTTATAATGCTAATCCTATCTTAAAAAGTGCATGTAAAGTCGATTACTCGCATTTCTCGTTTATTGTCGCTTTTCCGCGATGCCAATAATTGGTTGTCTCGCTGTGCTTACTTCGTGCAAGCGACTGTCATTGCATTTTGACAGTTATGTGTTTTTTGAGGTTGATGTGTAATTGTACCCTATCTAAAAAAGTGCATGTAAAGTCAATTACCCGCATTTCTCGAAATTTATTGTCGTCGCTTTTCCGCGATGCCGATTGGTTATCTCGCTGTGTTTACTTCGTGCAAGCGGATGTCATTGCATTTTGACAATTGTGTGTTTTTTGAGGTTAATGTGCAATTGTAAATTATAGTAAAAAGCGTTAAATAGCGCGCGCAAAGCGCGCGCCTGTAGTGCTAGTCCTATCCATTAATAAAAAATCCGTGTTATGGTGAAGTTGTGGCTGAGTCAAATTCATTGTTGCCTCTTTTCCGCAATGCCAATTGTTTCCAAAAAAAAGTTTCACCGTACATCGGTACATGCTGTTGTCAAACAATTAAGTTTTTTGTGTCCCTATTTATACAAATTTCACCTTTTTTTAAATCATTATAGACTGGTACTCATAGTCAGTGCGTGTATTTAGGACCATTCTATGTACAATCTTAAGATGTCATAAGCCAATCACAAACCCGTATATAACATCTTAAGACGTTCGTCAAATTCGTCGATTTTTGATAACTTTCGCGAAAAAATTTCCATAGCGCAATCAATTAAACACGATTTAAAAGTCAAAAATTAAAAATGGCAAATTTAAAACAATGCACCGTAATAATTATTTAGTTTGCATGTTAATTGGGAAGACAAATTTGTTAAGTCTTGAAATTTGTGCAAAAAATTTCCGTAGCGCAACATGGAAAAGTCAAATTCGTCGACCCTAGAAAACTGTTGCGAAAAAATTTTCGTAGCGCAATTCATTGACCCTGGATAAATGTTGCCAAAAAGTTTCCGTAGGGCAATCAAGAGAAGTAAATTTCATCATCCATAAAAATTTGATACGAAAATTAACGAGGAAATCAAATTAGTTGACCCTGGACAACTGATGTGAAAAGTTCCTGTAGTGCAACTGGGTAAGGTCAAATTCGACGACCCTGAGAACCTAGTTTGCGAAATTTTGAGACCGTAACTCGGAGAAGTCGAAATCATCGTCCATGGACAACTGTTGCAAAAAATTCAGGTAACGCAAAACGGGGAAGTTGAATTCGTAGTGTCTGCAAACCTGGTGCACAAAATTTCCCTAGCGCAATATAAGAAGGTCGAATACATCGACGATGGACCTCTAATCTGCGAAATTCCCAAAAATCGTCGAAAGTCGAATTCATCAACCCTAGATACCTGATTCGAGAAAGTCCAGTAGCGCAATTCGTGAGAGACGAATTTGTCGACCATGGACATTTAGTGGAGCAACGCTATATTGGATTCCCTATTTTTACTCGAGGAAATGAAATTAATCGACTCTGAAACATGATACCAAAAATTCCCATAGACAATTCTGGAAAGTCGCATTTGTGATCGCGGACTTTAAACACCAAATGCAACGCCATATTGGATTCGCTTCGTGGACCTTAAAGACGTGGTGTGCGAAATTACTCCTATGTAGATCAACTCGAAGACATTGTATTCATCAACCATGAAACATTTTTCAAAAATTTCCTGTAAACAAACTTGAGGAAAACAAATTCGTCGACCCTTGATTCGATACCTATTGGTGTGCGAAATATCCGTAACGCAACTCGAGAAAATCAAATTCATTGACTATAAAACATGTTGCAAAAAAGTTCCAGTAGCGCAATTCGGGAAAGTCGAATTCGTCCATTTCGAACACCTGGTGCAACGTTTTGGACACCTGTTGTGCGAAATTAGTCATGTAGCTCAATTCGCGGGGGAAATCGTGTATTCATCGATTTGAATACCTTTGCCCGTTTGCCTGGGAAGCGAATGAAACCTCAATGCGCATAACACCAACTGTAAAGCATGGAGGAGACTCCCTTACGAAAAATACACCGAAACATTAAGTGTAGAAATACACTCAAAAGTTTGGCGTAAATTCGGATCATCAATTGATGGTCAACACCAAAATGAGGATCAATCTCGAATAACCTTCAAATGGGTGTACCCTTAAATTAGTGTAACCTTAAATCAGTGTAACCTCCAAATGAAGGTATCCTCAAGTGGAATAATTTATATAAATAATATTATATTCTTTGTGTTTATATAAATTTCTCCGGATGATAAATATTACCTTCCAATGTATGCAGATGTTGCTCATATCGTTTAAGTATTACTACGTTACTACGTTTAAGTATTTGTAAACTGTGTTGTACTGCAGTTGAATGAAACCGTTTTCAACAAATTCTCGTAGACTAACTTGCCAAAGTCGAATTCGTCGACCCTGGATACCTGGTGAGCGAAATTCTCGTACGTCAACTCGTAGGTCAACTTCAGGAAATTCTAATTTATACACTATAAAAAATGTTGCAAAAAATTCCCGTAGAGCAATTCGGGAAAGTCGAATTCATTGACTTTCAACACCTTGTGCAGCGCCTTGGACACTTGCTATGCGAAATTAATCATGTAACTCAACTCGGGGAAATCGTATGCCTCAACTATGAAACCTTTTTCAAAAATTCCCGTAGCCAACTTGCGGAAGTTCAATTCGTCGACCCTGGACACCTAGTGAGCGAAATTCCCGTACATCAACTCGAGGAAGTTTAAATTTATACACTCTGGAAAATGTTACAAAAAATTCTCGTAGAGCAATTCGGGGAAATCGAATTCGTCTACTTTGAACACCTGATACAACGCCATATTGGATTCACATCGTGGACCATGCTTAACGTCCGAAAGAAAACGATAGAGAAAAACTCTATCATTTTTAATCGTGTTTCTGATTCGTGCTTTTTATATTGGATTTGCTATATTTGTAATTGAATATCTATGCAACTCAATGTAAAACTTTTTATAGACGTCCTAATCATATTCAATACGAAATTACTTAAGAATACGATATTATACTATTTATGTGAATAATGTTTTATACGATTCTATAAGTAATGTTACATAAAAAGGTATTTATCGTAACCAATCATAAATATTACATACATTTGAAATGTTTTCGAATCACATCTAATGTGAAAAATATATATTAGAATTTACATGGACTCTATGATATTCAATGCGAAATTTCACATAAAGATCGTTTCCTATTTTATGCGAAATTTTTTAAGAATACAATATTTATGTGATTGGTGTTTTATATGATTTTATCAATAATGTTAAATAAAAAAGCACTTATCGTAACCAATCATAAATATTATATTCATATAGGGATCTCAGGTTCGAATCACGATGCGTTTTCAAAAATTATAATAATCTGCGTAATTTTAATTAATAAAATAGAGAATATGCGAAATAAAGTAAACACAAATTAAACTCTAAAAATTAATAATATGTAATCATAAAATAAAAAAAAGAATTTTTTTTTGTTACAAATCTAAGTACCAAACACCTTATCAGCGCCCTATTAATGCCTTTACAACACCCTTAATGCTCCCTATTGAAAACATAAGGTATAACAAGGGGCAATTATCTGGCCCTGATGATTTTTTCCTGATCAGGCAATCTTAATTCTCGACGTTACATTTACGGTCAGGGCCTAACAAGGTTTACCTGATGAGCCCCTAATCAGGTGTTAGGTCATACTTATTAGGTCCCTATCAGAGCCTGTTCAAAATTTCTGCTCGGGTAAACTGCGTTGTACTGCAGTTGAATGAAACCATTTTCAAAAAATTTTCATAGCCCAACTTGCCGAAGTCGAATTCATCGATCCTGGATACCTGGTGAGCGAAATTCCCGTAGGTCAACTTGAGGAAGTTCTAATTTATACACCGTGGAAAATGTTGCAAAAAATTCTCGTAGAGCAGTTCGGAAAAGTTGAATTCGTTGACTTTGAACATCTGGTGCAACGCCATATTGAACCCGCCATTTTAACTCGAGGAAGTCAAATTAATCAACTCTGGAAGATGTTACAGAAAATTTCCATAACGCAATTCGGGAAAGTCATATTCGTCGAATTTGAACACCTGATCTAACGCCATATTGAGTTCACATTATGGACTATGGACACGACCTGCTTTGCGAAATCAGCGAAATATGGAACATGTTACAAAAAATTCCCGTAGCCCAATTCGGGAAAGTTAAATTTGTTGATTTTGAACACCTGGTGCAACGCCATATTAGACCCGCCATTTTAACTCGAGAAAGTCAAATTCATCGACTCTGGAACATGTTACAAAAAATTCCCGTAGCGCAATCAGGAAAGTTGAATTCGTCTACTTTGAACACCTGGTGTAACGACCAGGGCTGGATAATATTTGAAATAATTCCATTTTAAATATGTATTTAAAATGGAAATGGTATTTTGAATTTTATATTTTAAATGCTTTTTGGAAAACCATTTTCATTTTACATTTGAAATGGCAATATCTATACATTTAACTATTTGTAAAATGTGTAAATAGTTTTTCTAAGCGCTCACAAATTTCTCTTAGCATTATTGATTACGTTTACACGTTCACACGTTACTCTAAGGCTACGTACGGTTTGGCGCTTACAGCATCATTTGTTTTTCTATAACATTGAAAAAACAGCAAGAATGAAATAATAAGCGTTGTAAGCGTCAATGTAAATGCAGCTTTAATTGTGTAATAACATCTGTAATAATTAATCTAATCAATTAAAGCTATTCCTCTGAATAATAAAATGACTGCGATTGACCAGTTTCATAGCTACAAATGTTATTAAACCCGATTAAGTATGACGTGTAAACGTAGTCTTTGGCGCATAAAAGTAATCAAGTTTCGTTATTGGTCAAAACACAATTTCTTCTATGGATCACGTTTCCACCATTTCGGACGTCGCCTCTTTACTATG